GAATTTTCAGGACATGGCTTCAATACACCGGAAACTCATGAAATAACTAACCTTAAGCGGCCGGAGACCGGGGATATGCCATACATTGAAACAATGCAAGATATTGTGGATGATGTAACATCTATTATCCCTGATGGATTTTCTATGGATGATGTCTTCTCGGATGAGATGCCTAAGCTTCCAGGCATAAATGACACTTTCTGGGACCAGATTCTTTTAGCAAGCCCTCTCACTGGTGATAAGGATGAGATTGGTTCTCTAGCATTAGACGATGGTTTATCAAAAGAAGAGGATGTTCCAGAAGTTCAAGAGAGTGATTGTGATAAACTGTAGCATATGAGTCATCTTACTTAACAGATGGGACTTCTCGCATCAGGCTCTCATAGTGAATGAAATTGTGAATTTTAGCTGAATCCGGAAAACATCAAAGGTAGAAATTTTGTTTGCTATTCACTATAATGAGCTTATTATTTTCCTATCCCTCCGACAAACCCTTGCAAAATTCTTACCATTTCTTTTAATTTTGATTTTTACGCAACATTTTCTTTTATCCGAAGTTTTTGTAATTCTAGCTTATGTAAAAAACTTATACATGCATAACTCAAAAGAAAATGATAAAATTCTCTCTTATGATTTGGGGGAAGGTCTAAAATGATTCTTTATATATACATCCAAGTAGTTTTAGCCTTTCATGTTTACTGCCATTGATCACTTTGGCTCTCTATTATTATTAGAATACTTGGTGCTTTGATGCAGTTGGCTCATGAGAGGCATGGTCACCAATTAGCTGTTTAAACTGAAGAGAACCATCAGAATGAACTTCTCCAGATTTATTCCCCCCCTATTCATACCTTAAGAAAAAAAAAATTCAAGCCAATTAAATACACCATTTGCTTTCTTTGACCCTCAAATATATGAATTAGGGAATGGATGAACATTTTTTCTCTCACTTGTACCATCAATAACAGCCTTAGTACGTGACTCTGTATGCTGCTAACATAAAGGAGATTCACTTGCAGGTTTAGACCAACCCCCAAACATAAGAGACTAGTTTTTTTCATTTTCTCTGTTAAAAACGAGGAATCTCACTTTCAATGTATAGATCTATGTGACTCTGTAAGCTTCTAACAGCCTTCTGGTTGCATGAAATCTATTGTTGAGTTAATTCTTATTTGTAGTGGGAACAGAGATGTTACATTGGTTTTATATCTATAAATACATTGTGCATTATGTGGGTGGGTGGATGACATCTCGAGGTGGAGTCAGGTTTCAATATTTCTCCAATTCCTTTCAGGACCTTCTATTATTAGGTCTAGTATGCATGTTTTAATCTTTAAAACATATATTTTTGCTTTGAGCACAACTACTAAAACCTTTGGTATGCTTGGAGAGAGCATAGGGGCTTTTAGTTTCTCATCATGTTTCTGTGTTTTTTGTCAGGTGAATGCGCTGTACTGGTGGACTGACAGCGGACTGATCTTCGCCACAGACGAAGTTGAGTAGATAAATATGTTATATGCCTAATGCATTTTTGATTCAAACACATTGACTATTTGGATATCCAAGTTACCATGCGGGGGCTGGAAAGGTTGCTAAAAGATTGTCACTGGTGGAATATATAGAAGTTCTTTTAAATATAATATAATGACAATGAGGATTTGATACAGATGTAAGTATAACTTTCAAGAAAATGTGATACTGTTAATCTGCAAAGGTTACTTTAAGCAGATTTCTCCCATCATATAGTCGATTCTCTTTCGAGATATGATGAGCTTAACAGTCATGAATGTATTTCCTTTCCCAGCATCTCATTATTAGATTAATATGTGGTCATTCTGAATGTCTTAAGTATTTGTGGTCGTTTTTAGTTTGCAGCCATTAGTTTGGTTATATTCTCTTTGTTGCTTGCTATGTTATGAGAAATAGAGGAAGAACCTTTATTTGCGCATGTGGAAATGTTTCATTTGGGTTATGGTTTGGTGTAAACACCGTGTGGGTAAAGTTTTACTGGATTACCAATGTTTGATGGAGATTAATACCCACTCTGATAGCAGATTAGTCCTCACATGCACTCAATTGTGAAAGATATCAGTTTTCTCGATTGAATGCAGTCAGAAAGGATCAATCGCAATAGCCAATAGGTATTTGGTTTTGCCTGCCTCTGGTTAGACGTTGGTAATATCTTTTCTTGCCTGTTGAATCAATTGATTTTTGCCTTTGTTGGGATCAGGTGGATGGATGAAGCTCAAGAAATAAATAGTTTTACCCTTTTGGTTATGTAAATTAGGTATAGAACCACTAGTCTAGCAAGGAAGGAAAAATGTCAGTGAGCTAAGGGAGGACTTGGAGGATAATGCTGGGACGGTATCCTCCTACCAAGCTACTTCTTACCGTCTCTGAAGTACTAGAAAAAATGGCTGTACTTGTAATTTACTTGCTAATGCGATTGTCGAATACCAATTTGTGACTATATCTGGATCATTGAAAGGAAGAGCTTTATTGCTATGGTAAGAGTTGTCATCTTATGACCAAAGAGGTCATAAGTTCAAGCCTAGGGATAAGCTCTTGTTGAAATGAAAGGTAAGATTACGTACAATAGTCACAATGTGGTAGCACACTGAACGCAAATAGTTCCCAATGTCTATAATTCGAATACTGTACATCTGTACCTTGAAGATCATACTGACATACAAATTATCTACATTAGCAGACTGATGCAGGTAGAACAATCGAACCCATACACTTGAGAGATGAAAAAACTACAACATCTCAATTTAGTAACTTGGAAGAGAACTCTTTATGCTAGCACCAGTACAATTATTATTAGCAGGATGACCCCAAATATCACCAACAACAAGCAGCTCTGCAAAGAAAACTTGTAAGTATCAATTTTGCGCCAAGCTAAAGGCAATCTGTAAGCTATCATAGGACTGGGTGCAATATAGACTCTTACCGTAGATGAATTACATTGTTGGATTTTCGATGCTTTGGTAAGTTGCTTTGCAGCTTGTGCAGTTGCATCATGAGAACTCCCAATATTAGAACTTATATCATCTGGAAGATGGTTTTTTAGGATGTTAGATTCATTAATAAGGTTAGTTATGGTTAGAACTTCGGAGGAAGAAGGACAAAGGATCGGATCAGATAGAGATATTGGCTAACCGAGCATAGTTCCTTGTTCATGGACCAATAGAGCTAAATCCTTGAACATCTCATTCAGTTCACCAATCTGTTGCTGGATTTCTATCATTCCTTGCTCTCTTTCTTCTATGATGGCTTTGTTAAAAACAATCTCATGTTCCAATTGTACGACGTCCTGTCTGCCATAGAAGTAAAGCCAGGGTTCACCATGAGCAAAAGAACTGGTGGCAGCATAAAGAATTTGGGAAAATAGAAAGAAAAAATAAGATTACAGCAACTTGCCTTGCCATCCTGAAACGTGGGTGCTGAAATAAAGTTTCTTAACATATACATTATCGATCAACAAATCCCAAAAAGGAGTGTGTACTTAGTTATCTCCTAACCTTTTGGATTCCAGAAGGATAGAACTGCTCTCGGGACTGATAGATGAACTTATCTGAATCTCTATGCTTCTGCAAAATACAAATGTAAGATGTGAAGATAAGATCATATATCCGGGCTAAGAAAGAAAGTTGGCAGAAGTTAATTACCTGGATGAATTGATCTCCTGGGAAATGGAAGGAGTGAAAGCTGCCTCTCTCTGTGCTGCAAGTTGCTGAGCTCTTTGGAACTTTTTAAGAACAGATTGGAAATCCTTAGCAAGCTTAGCATTGGCGATCTTCTTGGTGACCTGAAGTTTAAAATAAACATTACTCACAAGATTCCCGTTCTTCTATCTTCACTTTCTTGTTCAAATAATTCATCCACTTACACTAGATTGAGAATGTCGATTTGATCCAATGGCTTGCTTTAGGTTAGCCGAAGTTTCTTTTATCAATTCTGCAATTTGCTGTCTTGTACTGTGGCTGCAGAGAAAAGCAAGAAACTAAACCATGTTAACACATGCACCAGTGTAAAATGCGCTTCATCAAGGAACACAGAGTACAAGTCTTTACAGCTTGTGACGGAGTTGAAGAGTGTCTTTGGGTGTTCCAAGGGTGTTAACTAGGCGTTGAAAGTTTGTCAAAGCTGTGTTTATTTGAAACACACCAACTACTATGGATTGACGATTATCAGAAGCAGATGGATTTGTGATGGCTTGTGTCGTTTGTCGTTCCCATGATCTACTTCCTCCTTGAACATACAATGAGCTTCCTGATTCAAGATCTTCAAAGCTCATTTTGAAAACACACAAAAATGAGAGTAGTTTTTCTTTTTGTTGGTGTGCTGTAAATGAATCAGAAATCTGCGTCTACAAGGAGGAGGTTGCTTTCGAATTGCAAGAAAAAAGCAGGAGAAGTGGGCATTGGGCAATGTGCCGTGCAAGTAAAAATATTTAATACTAGAGAGTACAAAACGACGAAAGGAAGAAGGTGCATTAGCTTTAACGCCTCTGCTATTTCTGTTTTGCTGTTGAGTTTTGTCTTCAGTTTTATCATTTACTAATATTACCTCTTCCAGGTGTTATCCAAGTACCAAAAATATACTTATTTAAACTTGGTATTCCAATAATGTGTACCAAAAAATTGTAAGTCAGAATCGACAAAGCTTAAGAAACCATATTACATGCAAAGGTTGAAAATATTGGCATTTGTGTAGTGAATTGTGGAGGTCTCCTGCAACTCTTTTGGAGAAGCTTGCAATCAATAAGTAATTATTTATAATCATGATAAAAATTTATTTATATGCTAAACTAATGAAATTAACCTTATTTGTTAAAGATTAAAGAAAATAATATTATATAAGTGAAATTACCAATTTATAAGTAACTTGTGTAGACACTTTCTATTCTTTATAAATTATAAATGAAGATAAATTAATTTATTTTGTACTTAAATTCGTGTGGCCTTATTGGAAACACCTGGTAAAGGTAAATAGCGAGTACATTTGCCAACTTTTGCGTATAACACGCTCTATTTCTAACTCCATAATAATAATATTACTATTTTTTTTTACATCTCTATTTTGGATTCTTCATCCAATTTTGTTTTTTTTTCTCTTCTTTCGATATTCTCCAAATTCTTCTCAGATTGATCTGCTATCTTTTTTTAATCTCGATCCATGTCGGTAAGTGCATAGCTCAACATCTCTATTTCTTTTAATTTGTTGGTACAAACAAATGCAAATTAGCTGATGATAATCTGTATTCTCCCCTGTTTGATCATGGAATAGACGAAATAAATCATTTTTGAATTATTGTTCTGTGAGATTCAATTTCATTTGTATATATATATCAAATACATAAACAAATGGAGTCTAAACTAATATAGAATAATTCTTATTTATATCCTTTTTGTAACTAGTATATAGGAAAGGTACAACTTTTAATCTTATGGCATTATATCCATCAGGTGATAATAATATTTCGTTTATTTAGAATGAGAAAGATTGTTTTTTTTTTTAAATAGTGGAAAAATTTAATAGATAAAGTCATTGTTACTATCATTACGTAACCGTAAATGAGATTTTCACCTATTAAGCCTTTTGTTGTAAAGTCTTGCTGATATTTTTTTGGTTGTTTTATTATAATGATAGGTTAAAACAGTGCAAGTGAACAATGTTTCTTTGGGTGCTAAAGAGCAAGATATCAAGGAGTTCTTCTCCTTCTCTGGGGATATTGAATATTTAGAGATGAAAGGGTTAGTTTATAATTAGTATTTTTGGATTTTTCAGCATCTAACTTATCTTTACACAACATTTTATATGGTCATAAAACAGGGTGTATGTGCCTATTGAGGATGATTGATGGTTACTTTTATTACCTTACATGTTTTTTTTTGTTTTTTTTTTATAGTGAGAGTGAGCGATCACAAGTTGCTTATGTAACATTCAAGGATCCTCAGAGTGCAGAGACCGCAGTTCTTCTTTCAGTATGTAAACTTCCCCTTGATCTTGATAGTTAATAAGTTTCTACAATTGCCAGTTTGATTTTTTTAATGATGAAAAAACTGTTATCTTTGTTGATGAAGTATTACTTTTGGAGGCATTAAATGTCTTTTAGAATAATTTATGATAGTTATGTCTCGGAGTGTACACCAGAAATTCTATGAAAGGTGCAAGACCTTTGTGCTAGTTAAGTTAGCAAGCATCCTTTATCAAAAATGATACGAGCTAGCGCCCTATAGCAAAATTCTGAGAATAGCATTAAGTAGGTTAGCTCACAGTTTGTGGCTTTGTGCTTTTGTGGTTGTCCCGAATAATTCCATCTATGTGAGATAGATTCAGAGTCTCTTTTACATTTATGAGATTGCTAAGTTTTCTAGGTTATGAAAAAAAGGATACTGTTTATGTTAAGGAACATCAAAGGATCAGCTGCGCTAAGGGGCAACAATTTGCTTCATGTTTGTACTGTTTCTCTTGGTTAAACTGTCACTTGTAAGCTTGTGAGACCGTTAACTGAGGAGATTTAAGAGCTAATCCATCCATTACTTGGATAAATACTTCACATAGCTCTGCTGGTTGGTATCTCCTTTTCAATTAGGTTTATTCACTCGGAGCCTTTTCTTTTCTGTAGGAACAACAGAAGTTCCAAAGTGGTCCCATATAAGCTAGATTCAGTTGAGAGTCATCACATAACTTTGGTTGTTCATGTTAGCATTTTTGCCAACAGGGGGGTGAGGGAGATAAAGTTTCATTCCTGATTTCATATTAATACAAGGAGCTTACGGTAAAGAATGAACCGTGGGCCTAACTCAATCCCAATAAATTAGTTCATGAGGTGGGCAAATAAGTAGACAAACAACTCATCCCTCAACCCAATGTGGGATTGAGGTGAGGATTGCTCAGGGCCAAATAAGTAGACAAACAACTCATCCCTCAACCTATTGTGGGTAACTTCTGTATGAGCTTCCAGTTTTCACCTCCTTTAAGTATTTATTGGTTCGGGTAGCACTTATAGTTGTCTGTATCTTGACTTGGTGAGTTATGGATTTTCTCTGTCATTATTAATGTCTTTTTGTTATTATTTTTTCTTTTGTCCATGACTAGCTATCAGTTTGTCTTTCTTATTTTTTTCCTTGGTGAGTAGGGGAGGGTGGAGAGGGATATATTAGGCAGATGATAGAAGTGCTTAAAGTCTTGAAGCTCCCCATTGCTTCCAGAGAATAGTTCAAAGTAGCTAACGAAATCATAAAAGCCTAGGTCCATGTTACTTGCGTGTGGCCTTCTTACTTCAGCATGATGGCTTTAATAGAAGGATCAAAATAACTCTAGGGAAAATTGCAGTTTGAAAAATTTAAGGTATTATATTGCATTTAGTATAGTGTAGAAGTCAACCAGTCCTTTTAAAAGGAAGCACACAATTAAGGAGCTTGCACACTTTTCTAATGAACATCTTATTGACAATTTTCTCTGTGGATACTCTCAGTATTTTAGTATTTAAAGTCAGAATTGCTCAGATGTTACAGAGAGTAAGGGAATTTTTCTATACTTGAGAAGTCAGTACTATCATTTTTTCTCTTCTTCAATCCAGTTGAAGTGTTTTAATAGAGTCTAGAGATACAGATAAAGTGCATTCTAGCATAAGTATTGTTGGTTGTTCACATAGCTTATGTGCTGCTTGATTACAAGATGAGCTGTTTCCAGTTTTTGATGGTGTGCTTTAGCTGCTTCGTCTGTATCTTCACATTATTCAAATGATCCCTTTACTGCTCCACTTTTGCAATTGATAAGCTCACTTTGTGTTTTTAGGGAGCTACAATTGTTGATCAGTCCATCTCAATAGTCCTAGCACCCGAGTACAAGCTCCCACCTACAGCTTCAGTATCACCAGTTGTACGTATAATTTTATGTTTTAAACAGACTTTCCGGCTTCATCGATCACATGATTGTCCATAAATGGTGTACCATTTATATGTGCAGCCAAATGAAACCACCACTGCACCCGCTGCTGGATCTGCTATTCAAAAGGCAGAGGATGTAGTCAGCAGCATGTTGGCAAAGGGCTTTATCTTGGGCAAGGACGCAGTTGGCAAAGCCAAGGCACTAGACGAGAGACACAAGATCACATCCACTACCTCAGCCACAGTTGCTTCTATAGACCAAAAATATGGCCTTAGTGAGAAAATCACTACAGGAGCGACGATTGTGAACCACAAAGTGAAAGAAATGGACCAGAAGTTCCAAGTCTCAGAAAAGTCAAAATCTGCTTTTGCAGCTGCTGAACAGACAGTTAGCAATGCTGGATCTGCCATCATGAAGAACAGATATGCTTTGACCGGTGTAACTTGGGCTGCAGGTGCATTAAGTCGAGTCACTAAGGCTGCCGGGGAAGTGGGACAGAAGACAAAGGAAAAACTGGCTGAAGAAGAAAGAAGAACTTTTACTAAAGGTCATGCACAAGAAAATACTGCAACTTCAACAAAAGGTAGTGTGCAACAACAAGCTGCAGATTCCGCTAAAGGTGATGTCCAAGAACTCACTCCAGCTTCTGCTAAAGGTGATGTGCAAGAACTTGCTGCAGCTTCTGCTAAAGGTGATGTGCAAGAACTTGCTACAGCTTCTGCTAAAGGTGATGTACACGAACTTGCTGCAGCTTCTGCCAAAAGTGATGTGCAAGAGCATGCTGCAACTTCTGCTAAAAGTGATGTGCAAGAAGTTGCAGCAACTTCTGCAAAACAAGAACATACCGAGACTCAAACCGGAGTTGAGGAATCCACCAATCCCTCTCTTCCACCAAAAGCTTAATCCAACATTATCTTGAAAGTAAATGCGTGATTTACGCTAGTTTGTTATTCGAATTTGCACAGGTCATTATGTATCAACTATGGTATTTATACATGGAATTTTATTTCTTAGGTATGTTGAGCCTAAACATGATTCTTGTAGGAGAGATATTTTTTTCTAACAAAAAAAGGGATTTGCAGGAGATGACATTCATTACTATTTCAATATTGCACTAAATGAAAAATCAGATTACCTCCTTTCAATTCCGTTAATTTTTATGATTAAACTCTGCATCATCTCCATGCTAAACTCCTTGCATTTAAACTAAAAGTAATGACTTTAAATAAAGCATGTAGGATTTCTTTACTTGTCAAATCTCAAAATATTCTATAGAGGTACCTTTTATTTTTTTTTTCTTTTTGCATAAGAGTTGGTATGGACTTGTAAATTTCAATGATCATACGTTTATTTGTATATAACAGGAAAATTATATGCCTCTCTCTCTATATATATATGTATATATATTAAACTTGTTCTAATTGATGCATGTAATTAGAGAATGTGACATATTTTGACTTATTGGAATAAACAATTGCTCGAGTTTCTAAATAATATTTATCGATAACTTTAAAAGGTAGTATGCATGTACTAAGCAGCAAATAACTAAGAAGAGAGGGGTATAAAAGAAGGAAAGAAATATCTTCGATCTGGCTTTTGTTTCCTGTAGGTTTATAGCACGCTAAGCTAGCTAAGAAAGGTATTATATCTTTCTCTTTTTGTTGTTAGGATCGATAGAAATGTTTAGAATCCTTTTTCCATAGATATGAAGACTATAAACCTCGATCAAAGAGCGTAGTTGTTCTAACGAGAACCGAGCTGCTGTAAGTTTTCGATGAGATCCTTAATAATATCCTAGAAAATTCATGATTTATTTGAGAAAAAATTAGATAACAAACGGTTAATTAAGTGAGATAGCAAGACATTAACAAATCCGACCTTAGCTCAGTTGGTAGAGCGGAGGACTGTAGTATGTGTGCTGAAATCCTTAGGTCGCTGGTTCGAATCCGGCAGGTCGGATGTTTTTTAATTTTCTTTTTTCCTACTCCAAATTTTAATTTCTTTTTACACTTTTAGCATTTAAAGAAAATAAAACATTATTTTTATTATATTATAAAAAGTAAAATTACAACACTCTTTGTGCTAGAAAAAACAAATATATAGAGCGATCTCTTTTAGCAGAGTTACCTACCATATATATACATGCAGTAGGTATGAGGCTAATTAGTTGTTGGAGCAGCAAGATTGCATGTTTTAAGCTTGGCTTTCATTTAGCTAAGTGTATCACATATGTTCTTTATTACCCATCATAATAACATAATCAAACAACTTTAATCTAACAGCACATTCACATAACAATAAACCAAACATGGCCAGATATCATATGATCTTGACATTCCTTGTAAAGTTGCTGCTGTCATCTGTCTCTGCTGCTACAAACAGTACCTCAGACATTCGCCAAGCCATCGAGGAGATGAGGACAGCAAATTATTTCACCTTTATAATGCTGATTAACATGGCCCCTGATGACCTTGTAAAAGGAAACATCACTTTCTTGATGCCAAGAGATAAGACACTGTCCCAAACACTAATACAAGAAAACAACGTGGTAGATTTCTTGCAACGACATTCCTTACCATCACCGTTGCTTTTTGACCACCTCCAACACTTCCCAACAGGATCCATGATACCAACTTCAAAACCTGACCTTTTCCTCAGAGTCAACAATTCTGGATACATGCATTTGTTTCTCAACAATGCTCGAGTCGTTAGTCCAAATATCTGCACTAAAAGTGCTTCCATCAGATGCCATGGCATTGATCAAGTCCTGGAAGGTGCCACTTTGCCATCTGAACATAATAATACCAGTCTTCCTGTGCCTCCACCTTGTGATCATAACATTACGATCCCGCCTTTTGGGCTGGTTGCACCACCTCCTGTAATGTCACCACCATCTGCAGCACAGCCAGTAAGTAGCAACATTAGTCCGATTCCATCATCAACTCCACCTCTGAAATCTGCAGTATCTTTAAGTAAAACCGGAATAACTGGGCTTATTTGGTTGCTGATGGCCGTGAAGTTATCTCTTTGATCGAAACTTAGGCTTCTAGCTGAATCAAAGCAAGAGAGCAAGCTTGTATATGGAGGCCAAACGGGGATATACTGATATATTACTGAATTTGTATTATTGCATATGGTACTTCTACTCTATTTAAACTTTGTTGTTTGTTTTGCCACTTTCTATAGATGCTCTAAATGTATCTTATGTTTTGAACTAGATAAAGTCCACAAACAACTTTTTGTACTAAAAGGGTTTGAAGTATTAATTGACAATTCTGCATTGTTGTGTTGGTTTGAATTTCAGAACCTGTGGAATGATTATAAGTTACTGGTTGCAAAAGAAAGGATCTGTAGAACCCAAAATATAACACAACAGTAGTAGTAGTAGTTAACTGAATAATGTAGAGATAGAAATGAGACCTCTTTTAGAGAGGGAAATTCCGAGAAAGTGAATTCGGAAAGAGGCTCTCTTCATGCTAAGATAGGAGAAATGCAACAATTTGTTGGAGACTGGAGCAAACTCCTTATTATGTGATCATATCAACTATTGTATTTGCTAGATTACAGCTTGAGAAAGGGAAATTGGTGTGGAATTGGAAATATGAGTTGGTAAGGCTGGAAATACCAAGTTTAGGTGAAGTAAAGTTTGTGCTAATATCAATAGCAACAGCTTTGTGCTGAACCAGAAAGTAATGTTCCACAATAAAACTTTCATGGTTCTTGATGAAATAAAAAGGATATCACCAACAAAAAGCATCAAGAAGATGCAAGCATTACGAAGAGATTATCAGCTCCCACAAAGGTGAAAAAAGCTATCATAACTATCAACATAGATCTATTGAGCTGATATATTCTAGGAAAGATTCAACAGTAATTACAGAGGAGTGGTTGACCAACCTAAAACGACTAATCACACATGAGACATCTAGCCTTAAGAGAGGAAATGGGAGTTGAGATGCCATGAAAACACCTTTTGTTCCTCTCTATCCATAAGCAGCACAAAATACAAAAGTAGGAACCAAAGACCAGATCATTTTGATGCACTTCCCAACTTTTTAGGAGCACCAGCACACAAAAGCGTCTCTCAAAGAGCCTGCCATGGTCCAAGTCAGTCCAAAGAGAGAAAAGAACATGTATAGAAGGTCTGTGGCAACAGTGCACGAAGACACAGGTGATTGATAGATTCTGGGTTGCACAAGCACATGTAGTGTCTATTTGCTATATGGAACTTCCTCCTCTTAAGATTATCCCGACCCAGCTGAAAGAGATGGTTTTTGGAGGCATCGTACTTCTCAGCCTTCCTCCTCACAGTTTGGGCGTTAAACTTTCATCTGCCAAAAGAGAAGAAAAGATTACCTCCAAATTAATAGAACTAAATTAAAATGAAAACAAAACAGAACTTTATGTCAAATGGCCTTTGACATCAGTTAAAAATAGAAAAGAAAGAACAGGTGAAGTTAAAGAAATTAGTGAACCAATCATTACATATAAAGAAAATAAGTAGAAGATTTAGTTGTTCAGATCTTTCAAACATCCCTCACCTAGAATTGTTCTTTTGGAATATCAATCTCTTCAAAAGTAAGAAATCAGCAAACAAGTTAATTGATCCTCACCATTAAACACCCAAATTATTTTGAATAGTTCAAAGTAAAAGAACACAAATTTGTCAATAGATATTAATGCAGTGAAAAGTTATGAAAACAGCTATTGACCATAATAAGATTAGATTCTGATAAAAAAAACCACAGAAAATAAAAATTAAGACATTGTTGAGATATAAGTTGCGCAGAATCTTCACTTCCAACGCCGTACCAGTTCTCCAAAAATACACTATTTTTGGAGAACCCACACACAGCCGTTGACATGTTTGAAGAGTCCGAGCAACAGAGGTTGAGATTACTATGCAAATGCAGCTTGCTTGATAAACATTTGACATATGCTTAAAAAGTTTGATGTTTAATAGGTTAGACTCTTACATTTGAAGGAGTACAATACGTCAGAAAATAGAGGGGGGGAAACGTGGTTTATGAGAAATTTCGCTTGCCTGAATCTGGAAACTTAAAGAAAGGGCTGAATGCTGTTAACACAAATCTAAATAGAGAAAACAAAACATATGCACCAAAAATAGGGATAATGCACAAGTTTCCCCTCAACCTATGCCCGAAATCTCAGAGACACACTTATACTATACTAAGGTCCTATTACCCCTGAACTTATTTTATTAATATTTTTCTACCCCTTTTCGGCCTATGGGGCACTATCTTGTGGGCCCAGCACTGGTTGACTTTTTTTTCAAGGTAGTGGCACGTAGGCCAAAAAGGGGTAGAAAATTACTAATAAAGTAAGTTCAGGGGATAATAGGACCTTAGTATATAATAAGTGTGTTCTGGGATTTCGGGCATAGGTTGAGGGGGTACTTGTGCATTTTCCCCCAAAAATAAGTACATTCACTGTTATTCCAAAAAAAAAAATGTACTATCATAGAAAGATCATTTCCATCAAAATTTCTGTTGGCTAAAATTGAGAAATGGATGAGTTTTTATCAAGTAGTTATGCAATAAGAAAGCCATTGTAGATACTTGATAGAGGAGCCCTAATGGGTGTCATGTTTGACAGACTCATGTGGAAAATGATATACTACCTCCGTCCCATTTTATGTAGGACCGTTTGACTTGGCACTGTGTTTAAGAATTAAGGAAAGACTTTTGAAATTAGTGATCTAAATCTATTCTTAGATATTTGTGGTTGAAAATCATTTCATTAAGGGTATTTTAAAGTTAAATTGTTTGTGACATTCTTTTTGAGACGTACTAAAAAGGAAAGAGTGTCACATAAAATGGGACGGAGGGAGTACATAAATCCACTTTTATGAATGGAAAATAGGCAACAATCCTGCCCTCAACCTTGATAGGTGAAATTTAATTGAACACTTCCATTGGTCTCTTGCATGTTACTTGAGACCAATGGAAGTGATAATTCAAAGTTAAGTTGTAAGGTATACTGGAAGCTAAGAATGAAGGAATCCGCTAAAGGGCTCATTCTTCATGGTAAATTACTGTTGTGTCGCCTCATATCTTTGGAAGAATGGATGCTCATATAGGCTATAGTCACAGTTAATCCAAGTCACAGATAGAATATAAGAGTATATAGATTGAAAAACAGATAAAAGGAAACATTTCCTTCTAGAAAAGGTTTATCTTAGAAGATGCGGTTCGCAGTAACTCTATTTGCATAAGGTTCTAGTCAGAAAATTTATACATATAATAAGGAAATTGAGACATATTAATCTATGTTGCTCGGACTCTTCAAAAATGTCTACGGGTGAGTGTCGGATATTTCAAAAGTAGTGCATTTGAAGAATACGACACGGCTGTGGCAACAATTTTGGAGAGACTGAGCAACATAGATATTAACACACAACATATTTCAGGAAATTCTAAAATAGACTTAACTGTTGAGTCACATCTCATCTCTACCTGATCCAGGCCTGGCACAGCCCACACGGTCCATTCGGCCCATTCACCGACTTAGGGCTAAAGAAGTTTATTTGTCTCGCATGTGTTTTCACCAATTTACCCTTGATGTGTGTGTGTACATATATATATTATGTTATCTGTGAATTTTGGTGGTGGGTTCTCATCTTCTTTACCCTAATACGGCCGTCTTGCTCTCCATTTCTCTCTCTACCTTTCAAAAATCCTTGGTCTATTTGTAAGATTTCTGTTTTTTTCTGTTGAATCTGCAGAGATCTAATGAATCTTTCATTAACTATGCATTCCGATCCTAGTTCTTACATGAATTTCTCAACTAACCTTGCTTGGAACTATATCAGAAAGCATAGAGATCTGTCGTTCACCAATTAGAAAATGTGCACAAGATGTTCCCTCATTCCCAATTGCCATCTCAATCGCATCCATCTTATTTTCCTATAAGTTTTGTCAGTCTACTCTCTGGCTGACATGAAATTCAGAAGTCTAAGTAGAAGAAACATTAGACAGATGAGTTGGAGGTAGAAAACTAGAGTTTGCTAGGAGTTAGGAGCATGCATGTTTGGAAGGAGAGGAGCCGTTGTATTTGCTATTATTCCTTTTGGAATCCAATAGGAAAATATCTTCAGGGAAAAAAAACAGTTGTTACTCCATTTGCCCGAAGTTATTTTGTTACTGGATTCCAACAGAATATTAGCAAATATAGCAGCTCCGTACCACTGCCAAATTCTCCATGGGAAGACTAAAAGCTCGATCTCTAACCAGACTACGTATCCAGCAAATGAAGCACTGGTAAGCAAGGTAATTCCCTTTTAGCTAGCTGTTTCTGTTTCTGATAACTTTTGGTTTTCACAAATTTCATTATTGTGTCCAAGTGTCTATTTCTCCTATAACTAGTCTTTAATTGGTATTCTCTATAACTAAATTTTAGACTGACTATGCATTTTTACTGCCATACTGCATGAAGAGATTTTTGAGCAGCCAATCGATTTCTCTTTCACATGCAGGTGGCATACAGAAGATCCCTTTGTCGAGTTCTTTCCTACACTTATCTCCTGTGATAAAAAAAAAAGGGGGAAATACACTAAATCAAATCTTTACAAAAACTTTATTTTCAACCTTTATTTATGTACTCTTAGGATATGAGATCCTCATTGCTTTTTCAACAAATAAATGAAGTTAAGAAATGTCCGGTAAGCGCAGAAAATTAGTGCTCCATACAGTTATGCATAATAAAAACTAATTTTCATCTAGTATTATTCAAGTATCAGCTTCCTTATGAGGTCTCCTCCAAGCATTTACTTTTGTTCTGCTTACTTTTGAATGAATTGTGAAAACAGTTGAGCCAAAAGAAGTAGACAAAGCAACAATGCATGTTCTTGATCACTTTCCAACCACTTGGATGGTTGGCACAATCATAATAGAGAGCAGAGACTTGGAAAAATTAAAATTTTGATTTCGTTATCTATGTATTTATAAGATAGTACTGAATCCAAAACACAACTAAAGTATCCCTATTTTTAAAAATTTCATAACTGAGCTTCAATAAATATTAGAAGTGTGAACTCATAATAATTCAGGTATGAAACTCGAAGAAGGGGATACTTCAGATGTTTTTGATCCTTCACTCATAAATTAGGGTAAAAAGAGAAAAGGAAGAATGGTTAACAGGCAACAGAGCAAAATTTCTTCCATAATCACTTGGTACTAATAATGTATTTTGGGGAAATCTGCAATACAGATGACAATACGGACGGTAGAAAAGAAATTGTACCTGCCTCCATTTGGCCGCGTGGAGGTGATGACATCAATGCTTAACTCCGCCGCTGAGACTTTCGACGGTGAATTTGAAGTTTTCCGGTAAGGGTTCTTGTCCAATGAAACACTTCAAACTCTCAGTTTGACACCACAAAATAATTATTCATATAGTCAGTTTACATCATTTTTGTTCAATTTAAAATAATAAAAATATACCTAAAACATAGATGTGTGTTTAACTTAACATTATTTTATATTTTTGTCTTTCAATTTTAGAGTATATACATAAAATATTTAAAATTAAATAAATATAAATATAAATTCTATACCATATAATATACGTAAAATACTACGTAGAATGCTACATGACTTATGTTTATTTGTGCCAAGTATTTAATTATATATAACTAAAATTAAAAAATATAAATATAAAATAAAATCAAATTAAATAATATACTTATATATTGTATCATAAAAATATGTATGTCACTGTAACAAGTCAAGTATGCTCCTTTTTCACTTTGCATAAAATTGTATTCACCTTTTGATAATCATAGGTTGAGATTGAGTTTTGCTACAATGACTACATTTGTTTTATCAAGGATATCTCTACCTCACCAGTAGTTATCCTCTAGTATCCCAATATACACTCTGACAGATTTAAATTTACTCATTTAAGATTTAAGTTTCATCAATAAATCAATAAATATAAAATTTTAAAAGTCTTTTTTCAGATGATGAATCAATTAAAGTTGCTCGAGTATATACCCTGAGTTCAGGTCTTTAGAAAATTGTATCTTCACTCTTCCTCACTTAACTAGTTCTTCATAAATTTAGATAATGATTTTGTGTATTAATTGCTAAACGCAAAGTAAATTATTTTGTTGTCTGCGTTGATCTAATTAAGGAAGAATTCAAACTTATAGATATTCCTGACGATCGTGATATTAATCACCAACTTGTTTATATAAAGCTTATGGTTTTGAGAGGATCACTTCCTGTGAACAAGTTGGTGATCTAAATCACGATCATCAGGAATATCTATAAGTTTGAATTTTTCTTTAATCAGATCAAAGCAGATAACATAATATCTCACCTCGCGTCCAACCAGCCAAACCATTCACAGAAATCTAAGCTTCTGAAGAATCAGTTAGGTTAGGAAGAGTGAAATATATGAGTTTTCATGAACCTGAACTCATGGTATACATTCAAGCAACTTTGTTTGATTTATTATCTGAAAAAAGACTTTTATTCATTGAATTGTTAATGAGATCAGATTTTAGATGAGTAAATTTGGAGCACTTAAAGGGTATATTGATGCATTTGTATCTATGATTAGCGGGATTCTAGAGGAACTACTAGTGAGGTAGTATCCTTGGTAAAACAAATGAAACCAGTGTAGCAAAATTTGAAGCTCAACCGATGATTATCAAAAGATGAATACAGTTGCTGCTTTATATGAAAATTATACTGTTCAATGGGTCAAATTAAGTGTTAATGAGTCTGAATCTCTTTTTATTTTCATATAAATATTATGTAGTAAGGTCAAAATGACACGACAATTCAATGTGCATTTAAAAAAATGAAAAATAAGTTGAATATGTCTAACATACCAAGAATAAGTTGAATATGTCCAACATACCAACTCAAACTTTAAACAGAGTATATTTAAATTTTTTTGAATAATTTAGAAACATATTTGACCTTTTTTTCCCACATAAAAACACGAGTAGAAAATAATTTTAATTAAAATATTCTAATCTAACCAATTGGTCCGTCGGGTCGGGCAAGGTTTGTGTCCACACGTGGCGGACAACAATTTGGGATTTTCTACCCAACGACGCGCGAAGCACTTCTCTACTTTCTTCTTCTTATGCTTTAACTTAATAAAGCGCAAAATTTAGCAATAAACGATTCAGAATCAGCAGGAAGGTAACAGGTAAATTTATACTCACGAAGATTTAATTGTAGATTTATCATTCACTTCTGTCAATGGCTGATTTGCGGAACTAACGAAACTCATCGTCACCGATAATTGTTTCATCATCTTTACTTTTGTTCTAAAAATTTGTTGTAAATTGTAATAATCTGGATGTTTTTATTTCTGGAGTTCTCTTAGATGTTGCAAATTTGGATATTTTCCCCCTTTGGTGTTAAACTACGAGGGGTCGATTTAGAAAACGGTTTATTTGAATTTTAATTTGTTATAGCCCATTAGAAGATGTAATCTCTACTGTACGCTCAGGGTTGGAGTCGGGATTTGAAGCTTATGTGTTCTGGATTATAATTGTTCTAAATCAATAATCTGTACATATTTAATGAATTTTAAAAACAGATGTAGTGCCCTTAAATCTTCTTAAAGAGATGGAGATAGCTATGCCTCAGCTTCAATAAGCAAACTAATTTTTGACTGTACTTTTACTTCCATCATCACACTTCCCTGTGTTACGCTCTACAATCATAACCATCCTTTTTTTTTTTTGAAAATGGTAACTTTGTCTATTCCTCAAAAGTCAGTACACTGATTAGTATTTACAACAATCATAACCATCCTTTTTCTGATAGTTTATGCCGGTAAACTACCAGTTGGTTTGCTCTGGTTAGTGTTTGCTCATGGTCATTTGCTTGATGTGATAAAGGGTCCGAAGTCACTATTTGTAGTAATTTGTCTTTCAGTATCATTTATTAATTTTCTGGGACTCATGTACTTAAAAGGGAAAAGGGAATAAGGTCATTTAAGATGGAACATTTACAACGTCCTGAGTTGTTGGCATATGTGATGAAGTCATTTACCAAGTTCTAGTTCTTCGAACGACTGAATTTCATAGTTGACTATCTAAATATAGACATTTGTAATCAGTCAGTTTTGGATATCCTTTGAAATCAAAATTAGTCGTTCTGCATGAACCTTTCAGTTTATGTTATGAAATCTTATTATGAGGTGTCTAATAATTATCAATATGTTCTTTTTCTATCAAAATTCGTAAATCTGAAAGAGTGGGATTTTACTTTATCATATATGATATATGTTGTACATATTTTAATTTTGACATGATACATACAGACTTCTTTACTTGATTGGATCTGGAAAACTTGATAATTGACTGAGTAGTGGCTTTGTGTGACAGGGTTAAGAGAAAATGATGAGAGTGCGGACTTATGCTTGGCTTAGTGTAATAGCTTCTCTTGCTGTCATTTATCATGCCTTTAATAGTAGAGGCCAGTTTTACCCTGCAATGGTTTATTTATCGACATCTAAGATCAGTCTGGTGCTTCTCCTCAACATGGGTCTTGCTACTATGTGCATTTTGTGGCAGCTAACCAAGAAGATTTTCCTTGGTACCCTTCGAGAGTCAGAGGTGGAGAGGTTAAATGAGCAGTCATGGCGTGAACTCATGGAAATACTTTTTGCAATCACTATTTTCCGGCAAGACTTCTCCATGACGTTTATTACCATGGTCACCGCACTATTTTTAGTCAAGACTTTGCATTGGTTGGCCCAGAAACGGGTTGAGTACATTGAAACAACTCCAGCTGTTACTAAGTTGTCCCACATTCGCATAGTTTCTTTCATGGGCTTCCTCCTTCTCATAGATAGTCTCCTTTTGTACAACTACATGAACCATTTGATACAGACAAGACAGGCTTCTGGTTCTCTCTTCTTCGCGTTTGAGTAAGCCATGCTGTCTTAATTCATTTGTAATTTTTTCCGTCTGAATATGTGCTATGATCCTTAAAGTAGTACTATTACTCTAGTCGTTCTTTGGGGTGCAATTTGAGATATATGCCAGGGAAAGGAGTAGAGCTTCATTAGATTGGATACCACCGGGTTCAGGGGTTATACAAGCATGTTTCATGCCTCTGCTTTAAGTAAACACTTAGGTGGGCTTCGGACATGGGGATATATGATACTTTACAGATACAATTTGCTGTCTACTGGGGTTGGCAAGGTACGGTGTTGGATCTTTGCACCTGCAAACGCTGTTTATCTTTCTGATGTAGAACCTGTTTGGATTAGCTTATTTTAAGAGTGTTAAGCCAAAATAGCTTTTAAGCACTTTTGAAGTGTTTGAGTAAAATTAAAAAGTGCTTATAAGCACTTGATTTTAAATTTTTTTTTTTGAAATAATAAAAATAAGCCAAAAGCCAATCCAAACAGGCTTGTAGTTCTTGCACTAGTTTACTCAAACTGGAGGCAGAACTATTAAAGCTGGTATTTTTTGAAAACCCTATGTTTTAATCATTATAATCTAGATGATTATCATTATAAAGCTAGATGATGAAGAGTTTTTTTTGTAGATTAGATTTTTAAAACCATATATTGAAAATCTTGATCAGGTTGAAGTATTCGTGTACCCTATTTCCCGTTCTCTACCTCTTGGGGTCAGTTTTATTCAATTTTGAATAGTTTAATGTACAATTCAGTGTTTACTCGGAAATCTTTGCTTTGTTATGCATTAATCCACATGACTGTTGTATGGATGGATGAAGTCAATTATCATTCCTGGCTTATTTATCATTGCTTTTCTGCATATTTTAACTTATATGGGGACAAGGGGACGGGTGGGCTCACTTTGAAATGGTATATGGTGACGAGGGGTGTGCTTACTTTGAAATGGTTTTTCTACCTGCTGTATGCTGGGAATCATGTTAGTTACTCTGGCCAATGTGCAGCTATTGTTTTACCCTAGTGCAGTTTGACCATATGGCCGCTTTTGATTTACCAAGTGCAGTTTCATCATATTATATGTATGCCATATCTAGCTCCCTAATGAAGTTTAACCTTTTACCTTTTTGCCACTATTTCTCAGGTACATGATACTTGCTACAACAACTGTTGCAACATTTGTAAAATATGTATTCTATGTACGTGACATGCTTATGGAAGGACAATGGGAGAGGAAGGCCGTATATACTTTCTATTTGGAACTTCTTCGGGACTTGATCCACTTGACTATGTACATGTGCTTCTTCCTCATGATTTTCATGTAAGTCAAATTTATGTTATTTTATTGTTTTCTGCTATTACTCTTCATTCTCTTTTCGTGTCAATTGCTTTGTTTAAAAGAAGATGAAACTTCTTGTAGTGTATAATTGGAAGTCAATGAATAGTAATGGAAAATGGTTATCATTTAAGGAAAGCAATGGACCAAAAAGGAAAGCAAGAGATCATTTTTTGGTTTAAGAGAGTTAATACTGACATCAAAAGACTCCTGAATCAGTTCAAGCATGTTACACTCTTGTGATATAACATAGACTTTCACATAGTGTTCTCAGTGTATCTGATCGAGCTCATTCATTCTCTCTAGTGAATAATAGTGAAAAATAAAGAGGCTCCTTCCCATCTTTCCCAACTATCCCTGGGAATTTTTGGATCTACTTCCCTCAGGAACTTCTAAGCTTCTAAATAGTATGGGACTAAAACATTATTCATACAGCTGTTTATTTTCTTTTCGGCCAGCAATAGGATGATTGGCTGTCTGTGCTGATTCAGATGTGCCACACTTATGCGTGTATTAGAAACTTCTGTAATTTCCAATTCAAGTATTTGGGTAAAAGGTTGTTTGATCTCTATTTGCACATTTTGTGATTGATTAGTTGTGGCATTGCTTATGGATAGAGGGTGAAGGGGCTCAACAATAGGCTCAAATTAGTATACCTCTGTTGAATGTTGTTAAATGAAAGCATTTTCTTGTTTTGATAAAAAAATTTGATCAGTAAAACAAATCTGTTTCTCCCATGTCTTATTACTTTCTTTTGGAAAATGCAGTGTTAGGGCCATTCTTGTTGAAGAGAAAGTCCTGTTTCCTTTTTGTTTTTGCTCCTGGATATTTCTTGGGACTTCAAACTTTTTTGTAGCTGATGTCAAGTAGAATACATCTTTTCTCCCTTCACTTTTTAGTAAAGAAGTTTTCACTGCATTACACAGCAATTGACAATGTTCTGGTCTTGATCTTCCATCCTCTTATACAGTTAGACTGGGATCTGTATCTACACATAAATATGCTAGCAAAAGCTTCACTGAGTTTCATCAAGAGATGTAAATAATCATGTGATGCCTGCAAATACCTCCAATGTAATGCAGGAAGGGTGGCCCCGTGTGTTAAAGTTTAGTTTAGGCACTAACAATCAAATTGTTAAAAAAAGTTCAGTTCAGGCATGATCCTTTTTGCTTTTCTGCTGATATTTGTTTGGCTTTTGGTAGAAGCAACCTTAAATATATCATTCATCTGATCTCTTGTTTATGATCAAGCATTGGTGTATATATTCTCTCTTTTCCTTCTGATTTTATTTATTTATTTTCGTGGACATTCTGGGACATACAATCTTTCTTACTACTTAGTTCTGTCCATATTATTTATATTCTTTTTGACCCACTATTATGTGTTCATTTATTTCTTTATTTCCTTTGACTTTCAGCAATTATGGTGTGCCTCTGCATTTGATTCGGGAGCTTTATGAGACATTCCGCAACTTCAAGACTCGAGTTGCTGATTACATACGATATCGGAATATCACTTCAAATATGAATGATCGTTTTCCAGATGCTACACTGGAAGAGCTCAATGGGTAAGTTTCTCACTAACTAGAGTCTTGGTGTGTATATGTTTTTTTCATCACTATGAGTATGTTTGATGTTCCTGCAGAGGTGACACTATCTGCATCATTTGTCGTGAGGAGATGACCACTGCCAAGAAACTTACTTGTGGACATCTCTTTCATGTCAATTGCCTCCGGTCATGGCTAGAACGTCAGAACACGTGTCCTACTTGCAGAGCTCTTGTTGTACCACCTGAAAATGGGACGAGTGTTGCTGGATCTGGATATTCTCAGCAAGGTATCACCTAAAACTGGCGATTCTCTATATTGTGTATCAACTTCTATAAGTTGATTTTGAATGACGCCTGGAAATTGATGTTTCATTTTCCAAATGTTGCTCATCATGGCTTTTTTGCTATAGTAGAATTGAGATGAATGGTTAAATCACCCATTTGTTTGTAATAAGCTGTTTTTACCATTAAACTTCTGCTGAAGTGTGTTGATTATTGGTGAAGATCACATGATAGTAGTGGAACAAAATTACTTTTTTTTTTGGAAGAAATTTCATGTGGTGTACACTGAATAGTTGTGTCCCAGCTTGTGGATTGTCATCTGTAATCTCTTATTTAAAGATGACATGGTTAGAGGGAATTATTTGTGGCTATTAAGGACTTGGATAATTCTTTGTACAAAGTGCGGATGTATATAATATCTATTTACTAAGCACTCTGGGAATCTTTAATCGGCACAGGAACAAGTTTAGCAAGCACATCTCGAGGTTCCCAAGCAGATCCTAGGACAAACGGTTATGTTAGTCAGCACCAGGCTAGACTCCAAGCTGCAGTTGCTGCTGCTGCAATTTATGAGAAGTCCTTTGTTTATCCTTCTGCACCAACACTAAGCCGGTATGATTCTCTTATATGTCAACATTGTATTGCTTATCTTCTTTGTATATTTATGAGACCTTCCCCCCAGAAGTGCTTGTAAAGGCATAAACCTCCCTGACTATCTTCCTTGATAAGCATAGTTACGTTGATTCTTTCCATGTCCCATTATGTTTCATGCTCTCTTTTTTATTTCTAAGAACAAGTAACTGTTTGCAGTTTTACTTTCAAAAAGAACAAGTAGTTGTTGGTCTCAATTTTTTATAAGCAGTAATAACTGTTAGCCCCACTTGTTTTCTGGATTTACATTAAAGAATACCAATCTCTTCAAAATCAAAAGTACAGATAAATTAGAAATGAAGGAGCATCCAATGTATGCCATTGACATCCTCTGAAGATTTCACATAAGCACTTGGCATGTTGTGGGATCACAGTCGTATTCAATGAGTTGCCTTGGAGATTTGGCTTGTCATGTAACCCTTGACTTTAGCAGATGATTGCTAATTAACTTGTCCATATCTTCATGGGAAATGACTTTCAATATATATTTCCTTGGTCATGTGGTGTGAACTAGTGGTAGAGGCAGAGTGAGGTTGATGGTGGTGACTTCCCTGTTTTTTTTTTTTTTTTGGCAGTTGACAAGGGGATGCTTGTCGTCTTTATGTCCACAAATTTGTAGTTCTTTTAAGCACAATGAAAGAACTTTAGTTAATTATTCTCATGCTTGCAGGTCTCATGGACATGCTCTATTTCCTCCTTCCTATGGACCAGTCAGTTTTATCAGCGTGGACTCACAAAGAGAGAGTGCTGCAAATGAATGGTCACAGCAACATCAATATGCAAATATGCCTTTTGCTTACTATCCACAGAGCAGTTTTGGTCCTTTAGGATATCCTGGTGCTAACATGCCTGTTGGAGATGGTTCCCGGAGTAACCTTAGTACTTCAGATACTCAGCTCGAGGCCCATAGGATATTCTTACAGCAGCAGTGTGAGGTATGAACATTTGTCTGGTGAATTTGTACTCTCTTTTATGTTTGTTGATATTGCTAATTTCAATATGCATTAATCATCATTGAGATAATTTCTAGTTCTGTTGAAAACATAATTAAGTAAATGTAAGTGTGATCTCTCTAATATCTTAAGCTTTACGATGAAGTTTTTCACACATCCAACATGGTATTAGAGCAGGTGAAGGTCCTGGGTTCAAATCTCACTACCACCCATTATCAATCAACAAAAAGAATTTCCTCGTGCTTGGCCTATCGAAAAAGATCAAGCCCGCACATGAGGAGATACGTCAATTATATAATTAAGTAAATAAAAGTGTTATCTCTCTAATAGCTTAAGCTTTTAAATGAGATGGTCACACACTTCAATAAATTTTCATTATTCTATTTGTCTTAAAATGTTTTGAAGTTCTTAAAGTTTGTTCTCTTTTTGGAATGGGACTTCAGCTTTGTTGGTAGAACATATCACCTCAGATGAAATTCTGTGGAAAATTGCAAAACTCCCCTTTAAATGGTTACTTTACAACTTTGGTGGCGAAACTCAGTGCTTTGATTGTTATATTCTCTTTTTGGACATTTTTCTATGAAGGGGGGATGGAATGTATTTAATATGCTGTTACGGTTGAGATAGTTATGGACCATACAGCTCTGAAAATTGATGTTTAGCCCTTCACCCTGTATAAGATCACACTGTAGTGGATTGGATTCTCATTTTCAAGATTGCTTCTTAGTGTTTCTTTTTTTAGGTTACCTTTTTGCTTATTCGATCTCTCTCTCTCTCTTTCTCTCTCTATCTATCTATCTATCTATATATATATATATATATGCATGTATGTATGTTTGTATATGTGATGTGTATATATTTACCTATGGAATCTACATTTATTTATCTAGGCTCTGCAAAACCAGCTCAAGCTTCTACAGAGTTCAAAGACACAGAAAGTAGCAGATGGTGCAAAAGTTTCTGAAAGCAAGGGAAAAGCAATTTCATTAGAGAATGCTCAAAATGGACAGGCTGAAGGTGCAGATTTTTAAGGAGTGATCATCTGTATATAAAGTGCAGTTGTAATCATCCAGTTAGAATGGCTGCTGAACAATGGAATTCACCGGAAGATCTGTTGGTTGTATTTTCTCTAGTGATCTGGATATCGTTGTATTGCAGGTGAGAGATCAACCATTTCTTTCTTCTGCAAGTTCCTTTCTTGAGGATCTCCAACTCTTGTATCTCTGCAGAGTTTCAATTTCACATCTTCATTTAGCGGTCCATTAGCAAACCACATCAACAGGTACAACAATTTTAGCAGAAGATATTATATGTTCAAGTAGGAAAGTGAGAGATGACGCCTGATTCATGCATTCAAGAAGACTCTGGATCTTCAGCCTTGCTTTCTCCATTCCAGGGTTGGTGCAAATACCGAGTGGGAGTAAGTTTCTTCCATTTTCAGGATAGCATTTCAGTATGAAGTATATGCTGAACCATCCGGAGTTGACACATGGGATTAGAAAATTAAGCTGTTTGATCTTGTGACCATTTCATCTCTAGCCTTGCATGCATAATAATAGTAGTGTTCATTCCTTGAACAGTTGAACTATTAACATACAACACACTTGTATTAGTGCTATCTGTATCATAAATCAGTGCCAATTTCAAACCAAAAACTCTGTCGGACATCAGACAGGCTGTTGAATTGGCCTCCTTAGTTCAGCATTGAGAGTTGCTGTAATGTGTACACTGTACAGGCATTGGACCAGTACTCCAGAAATCGTTTTCGTTTGGTTAGGGATATGCAAGGGAACTTGCCGCAAACTGATCCTTTGAGAAAGTCAATATTAGTACCTCATTTATTCTGCAGGTTCAGATATTTTATTTGTTGGAGCAATGTATAACTGGATGATTCATCCAGTTTGCACCCAATTTATTACTCTTAACTTGCTGGATATGTGAGTTCCTTAGTTGGTTTAATGAACATTCTATTTGCACTAGTGATTCTGGTCTCATTGCTTCCCAAAAGTTCTTTTTTTTGGGCGTCCTTAGACTCGTATTTCAATTTATGAATGGGAAGGCTTGAACTGCTGAGGGCTGAATCAAACTAAGGTCTGCTTCCTCTATTTTTCGATATAATTTGAATCCATATGAATTTTATGAAAGACACGAAATTTTTTAAAATTCTGATCTTAAAAATGTTATAGTATATATGAGAATACATAAATTTCTAACATTTGTGTGTTTATATAAGTTTCTAAGGATAAAATGATTATAAAAGTATATTAATTTTTATAAGAAACTAATAAAAGATAATAGCATAAATTCAAACACTGAGAGGACTTAACAATGAACAGAGAATCAGTTTGATTGAATGTGTTTACTTAATAAGAATATTAATCTACAAATATCTAACCAACTCTAGTATTATTAGTAAATAAACAAATAAAAAAAGAAAAAAGTTACGAAGATATCCTTAAGCTTCGACCTATTACACTATATTTGGATCATTGTTATCTTTGTATTGTATTGTTATTATATCTACCATATTTGTTTTGATTGTCGTTGTTACGTAACAATGAAGCCCTTATTTTATGGGACAATTAATTTGGTGTGTTTTCATTGTTACATAATTTTTTTTCCAGTTATATCTTTACATAATATTTCAAAATACTATTAAATTTATAAATTAAAATATAGTACGATACAATCAAATCAAACAATTAAAATGTTACTTAACCACAACAAACAATACAATCTAGCCAAACATTATGTCTGTCATACAATACAGTACAATAAAATACAATACATTATGAAATAATGAATAACAATGAAACAAAGTGTTAGTATATTTCAATCACAAGATATTAATAATATATATGAAACTATTAAACGACTCCTAAATATTTTTTCAATCACAAGATATTAATAATATATATGAAACTCTATTAAATGACTCCTAAACGTTTACCTTTCTCAAAACGAAGGAAGACACAACAATAAAAGAGAGATTAGAAAATATGCAATACATTAAACAAAAGAAAGAATTTGATCCAAAAAATTCCCAGTATTTGCAACTTCCGAAATATTCCATTTCCAGGGCTAAAAACAATGGAATAAAAATTTCTTTTTTGATAAATAAATAAATACTAAGTAATAAAAATAAAAGAAGAAGAGAAAAAAAAACAACAAAAAAAATACAGAAAAGAAGCTCAGAAAAGTTGCAGAAACTAAGGAAAAACAACGCTACCTTCTCCATATTTCTTCGGTTTATCAAATCGATAATCATCAAAATAAAGTATGAAGTTTTAAAGTTTGTCAGATCACCAAATTATAGTACAGATTAGCTCTAATTTGGATCCTTCACGTTTCACTCACCAATTTCATCTGATTCGCTTTTGGAGAAACGAAAAAAGGAGTGAAGAAGAAGAAGAGAAAAGGCAAAAGGCATAATGGGACAAGCTTTTCGCAAGCTATTTGATACTTTCTTCGGCAACTCTGAGATGAGGGTATGCCATTACTCCAACACCCTTTTCCTCTCCACCCCTTTTTTTTCTTTCTATTTTTGTATGCTCATATGTTATTGGAAATGATCACTTATGATTTTGCCAATTAGACTTTGTGGGGCTTCTTCTTAGCTCAGTGAAGATAATGGGTTTCACATACTTTCCTAATTATACTTCTCTGGGAATATCTACTTAATTTACATTATTACTCTATTATTTTTTTAAAAAAGTGTGAACTTTAAGTGACCTTGACTTTTGATTGGGTTTGAGTTAAGAGACTATAAGTTAAGCTATTTTGGGTTTTCCTGTTTTAGCTATTGGACTGTTGCCGTAATTAAGAATCTTGTCTACCTTTAGTAGTCTTAGCTTAATTAAGATTCTTGTCTGGATAAGGAATTTAGGGGTAGGAGTTATAAATAGTTGTGAATGTTTCTTATTTTTTAATTTTCTGTGTACATTGTAAAGGTTACTTATGATTATTGATATGAATATCATCCATTATTTGAAGATCTTCTGTTCCGAAGGTCTGAAGACGAGTTCCTCCATCCTGGACTATTTAATAGCTTCCACTCCGTCATTTAGGCTAGTGCTTGAAGTATTACATCTTGAGCATATAACACCATGGCTATATACTTTTTGAGGAAATTGAGTGATAAGCATGTTTAAGGCTGTTGAGGACGACTGTGATCTGCGGAGTTCAAGTTGGCTTTAAAGCTTCTTCATGCAGCTTACTGCAGTAGTCCTGGGTTTTTAAAAGTTAATTGTATATTGTGATTTTGCTCAACAGAGCAGCATTAGTTTTCACTGTCTTGTATATGATTCTTTGAACTGACTATCATATTTAGAGTACACCAACCTATGAAATGATATGTCCGTTGTATGTGAGTCGGAGAACTTGGAGTTGATTTCCTTGTGCATCCTTGATCCAACTATTGACTGTTAAAATTGTCATTGAGGGAGCACGTTGAGTAAGATGTATATGGAGAATAAAATTAAATAAAGGTGCCTTAAAAGAAACTTGTCTGTTGTAAAAAGATGCGCGATGCTCTCATAACAAATGGCAATTTTGTTCCTTTTTGGTCAATTTCCTTATATCAAGATTACTGGTCACTCTTTTCTTCATTTGCATATCACTGTTTTCTTCCTTTTTGGGGGCGTTGCGGGATTGCAGTTGGTATATTGATATCAAAATAGAAAAGAATATATACTGGAGCTATTTGGGGAAGAACCGGCGAAAATAAGCTACAAGTATCCATTCATGTCCTATGTAGGTGGTATAAAAAAAGTAAAGCCCCATTTCCTTCAATCTGATTCCTTCTCCTCTAGGGTTCCATTTCCGCATAGTGCAGAATTCGAGCTACCTAGTGGCTTGATATTGCTCAGTGACCTCCCAGTTCAATGAAAGGCCTCTAAAATGGCCATTGTTACATCAGTAGAGATAGAGATCAATAGAGACCTTCAATGTGTCAAAGATCTCATCTTTTCCATCATCCTTATTTTATCTTTTCAAATAGGTAATCATCATGAATTTGTATGAAGTACTATCTCACATATATCATGTCTGCCGTCTACTAATGTGGTGCCCACATTAGTCATTACTGACAGCATAGGGAGGGACTTGGGGAAGGGAACAGAGATTTTCTTGGAGGAAAAACCAATTTTCTTTCTGCAATGACTTTTTGCCTGCTCTGTAATGAAAATGATTACTACGAATGGTTGGGTTGTTGCGGCAGGTTTACGATGAAGTAATGCTTATTTCTCATCATCCATCCATCAGCTTTCATAGACCACTGCCTAATGTTCACTACACACCTTTTGTCTCTGATTATTTACTTAGTTGATTATTCTTCTTGTATGTGTAACTAATTATCTTACGCCTTTCACAATTACCATTTTCATTATTTTTTTAAATCTTATCCCTTTCTGCTGTGTTTACTATGATTTGCTTGGTATAGGTTGTGATGCTAGGGCTGGATGCGGCTGGGAAAACAACTATATTGTACAAGCTGCATATAGGAGAAGTTCTGTCTACAGTTCCTACTATTGGTATGCTATTGCTAAATTCTCGCTTGCAGTGTTGTGGCACTTAAATGTTTTGTTGGTTCAGTTATGAATCTGCTTGCATTGATATTGTTCTCGACTTGACAACTTTGAGTTCTTTTAATTACTTGTTGCTTGATGAATTTGAAGTTTCAACTAATTGCAATATGACCTATCAATATATTTACCAAAGAATGACCTATCAATGTCATACACAAAACTTTTTATTAAAAGAAGAATCACCGACATCTAAAAGATGTGGTAGCTTTGTTACAAAGAAGGAACTTTGAGAGGCCATGCTAGAGTTAGGTAAAAACATCATCAACCAAATCATTCTTTTTTTTTCTTCTAATTCTCTGACTGGATATAAGTCGTTTTATTCTCTTCCTAATTATGAGGCGCCATCTTATAAGGTCACATTATAGTGGTTGCAGAAGGCGAGTAAATTGGAATCTCAAATCTTGCAATGGAAATTGCTTCCGATTTGAAATATCGCATAGTTTTGCATATATATGTATTGAACACCTATGAGACCTAGTGAATACCTGTATATGTAATAGCTGATTGTATATGCATGGCATGCAGGTTTCAATGTAGAAAAAGTGCAGTACAAGAATGTGGTTTTTACTGTGTGGGACGTTGGAGGACAAGAGAAACTAAGACCACTTTGGAGGCATTATTTCAATAACACAGATGGACTGGTAAAACTATATATATTAGATTGTATCCGTGTCGACGAATATTCATCTACTGTTGATTTAAATTTTAGTGTCATTAGATTCCATAGGAAAAGATGAATCTTCCCTCTTTTTTTCTCATAGATGCTATTACCTAAAAGTCGCATAGGAAACTTAATTCGGGAAGGGTAATAAGAAATTTTAAATGGGAAAATGTGTTAATGTGATATACCATTTGAACCATCATTACTGAGTGCCTTAAAAATCAAACCTACATTTTCCGTTTTATGTGAACAGCCCCTGCCTTTGTAAAATGGTTATTTCTGTTTACTAAGTGCTTTGTTGTATACAGATTTACGTCGTTGACTCTTTGGATCGAGAGAGAATCGGAAAGGCAAAGCAAGAGTTTCAGGTTCTGTTTTTGAACTTCTATTTCTTTGCCCCAGGTACAATGGTCACTTACCCACCTAAATCTCATTCTTAATGTGTTTCAGGCAATCATTAGAGATCCATTTATGCTTAATGCTGTTATCTTGGTTTTCGCTAACAAGCAGGACATGGTAAGTTTGTGATATCAGTGGATTTGTGCATCGATAAAATGCAATAGTTGCTTGTTATCTATTGTTCTCTCTTTATGTACTGCTTTCTTAGTGCTGTTTTTTAAAATGTTAACTTTTTATCAAAAAAATAAAAGATACTCAAAGATTTTGCTGACCTTATTGTGCTTATTATCAGATCCTATGTCCTGACCTTTGTAAGCTTTGACATGCTGTTGTTTATTAAGCTTCCCTCTGTGTGATCCACAACTGATGCTTGATGTATTCTGGTACTTGATTAGTGAAAACAAAATGGTGTTGTGGAATCAATATCTCATGAGGTAGATGCTCATGTTGTTTACCTCACCGTCACCGAAGCATACTGATTCAAGAACTAATGAACAGACATACCTCCTTCCTGTTCACCTAGGAATAACTCCTTTTTCCTTTCCACCAAAACCTTACCAAAGTAGACCGCATTAATAATTTAACTATTTGAGATACTTAAATGCAGACAAGTCAGATATTCAGATTCCGTATTTTAGGAAATGGTTTGTTAGATAAAATGAAACGCGTGGAATTAGAATAAGATGACTGAAATGGATTGAGTACTATAACAGTATTATACAATCAGTGGATCCCACATAAAGTGAAATATCAGTTCTATGAAGTGGTTGCGAGACCAAGAGCTTTTTATGAAAGTGAAATTTCTGCCATGAAGGTCTAACATATTCATAAATTAAGTCTAATGAAGGTTTACTTGTTGTTGGGAGTGTTTCTAATATGGTTTGGGACTTGTGTAGAAATAAGTGTGGGATTAAAGAATCTCAAGCATTAGAAAACCTGCCATCTTTATTTTCAATAAAAGCCGTTATTGTTGCCGGAAGTCTTTTTTGTTTGATTAAAGTTGTGTAGGCCAGTATAAAGATAAGTGTGGATTTAGAGAACCTCTAATTGTTAGAACAATATGTATTCAATTTTGTCTTGTTTTCTAATTAAAAGTAAAGAATGAAATGGATTTGATTAAAGTGTAGTGGATGCAGACAAGTGTGAATTACATAATATATCCCAATTAAGTTTCTAATTACATTAATCCCTTAAAAATTTAAAAAAAATGTATACAATAATTGAAGCTCGGATACATAATATGTAGCTCAGATACATTAAATATTGGCTCGGATACGTTAATATGTAGCTCGAATACATTAAAAAATAGCTCAGATACATTAAATACTGGCTCGGATATATTAAAGAAATAAGGGATTTTGGAGATTTTTAAAAGGGGTGTACTTATGCAATATGTCCTATACATGGAGCTTAAGATAATGTAAAAGAAGCAAATCAATTGTCCCCTCAGTCCCCTTTCCATTTTCTCATCTCATGTTTGGTGGATAAATTTTTTATCATATTGATCCTCTTTGTTTATTTTTTCCCCTAATTATGGTCCAGAAAGGAGCAATGACTCCAATGGAAGTGTGTGAAGGCCTCGGTCTTTATGATCTTAAAAACCGGAAATGGCATATACAAGGTGCATGTGCTCTTAAAGGGGATGGTCTATATGAGGGACTAGACTGGTTATCAAGCACTTTGAAAGATCTCAAGGCCGCTGGGTACTCTTCAGTGGGGACTTCTGCCTTCTGATTGATCAGGTCTACAACTTGGCTTCTATGTCTTCAAGATTGTCACAGTCATCCCTAACCTGTTGATCTAACTTTAATTTGCTTTTGCAGGCTTACTAAGAACCTATTTCGAGGGACAAAGCTGATTACCCTGCCGTCTGTAAATTAAAACGCCTGAACTCACATTGAACATTGTTACTTGTTCTTTCGGGTCTGTGCTTTTAAATAGTGGAATCCTGATCTAGGGTGAAGCTTGACTTTTGATTCTGCTGTATCCTGAAAATGTGGGCCTTGCAATTGGTCTTCCGCGTATACAAGAATTGTGTATGTTGATACCTACTGTAGTATTTTAAGTATGTATAACTTCCACATGAAATAGGTGATCATTGATCTCCCTAACAAGCATGCCAAATCGATCCCCTTATCATTCCGGTTTTTGCCTCTAAGCATGTGTTCTTGTGGAACAGTGTATACTCAGATAATTGTCTCTCTTCCACTAAACCTTTTAGGCATAATCCCATTATGCTTTCTGAAAAGTGAAAATCAACATTTCTCAGTTGTGTTGCATTGAAACGATGTTTCTGGAAATATTGTGGAACTTGACTACTTGAAAGGTATTTAAATCTTGATGAGAAGGGGCTAAATGTTAAACTTTTCAGTGTTATGACACTTTAAACACTCATAATAGCTCGGGAGAACTTCACACGACATGGTTCTTTTTATATTGTTTTGCCTTCGGCAATTAGTTTCTTGAACACCTTTTCGAATAGTGGACATCTTTTTCCTTAATCTCTGCGAGAAGTTGAAAATGAAAAGGAAGAAGCTACAGATTTCAACTGCCAAGTGTCCAAGTTTTTTATTCAATTTGAGTTTCAAAGATATAGATTGACAAAGAGAATAATTCAGGTGAATTGAAGAGAAGTTTGACGGATTTCATTCATCATCATCATATGAGTAATTTTGTTTTAATCATACAAGTATTGAAAAATAACTGAAGAAACACAAAACAACAGGGATAATAAATTTTGATGTCTCAAAAGTAGCAAATCAAGAAGGTTTGCAGAGCTTCAATCTTCCATCTTAATGGCAGGCGGAGTGGTCTGCCCCTATTACGAGCTTCAGTTTTCGTTTTCACTGATCAAACGGTTTTCTGGAACTTTTTGCAAGGCTGATCTTGTTACTGCCTGTGAATAGGAAAAACACTTTAATTATATTGCACATTTAAACATCTACCAACCACAAGTAAAAAAAGAGCACATGAATGAAAAAGGAGATTAGCTGATGTTGTTCTTACCTCCTTTCCACTAGGATTTTTTGATATGTTCAAATCTTTCAACATTTTTGTAAGCTTCCTCAAGCTTAAATTTTGCAAGTTATCACCAGCAGTGCCTTTATTTTCTTTCGTACAAACCAAGTTTTCCTTGTTATCTGTAACAAGCATCTGTCCTATGCTTGTCACTGCTGATGAATTCTCAACTGGTGTCTGAGTGATGAGTTCTGAATTTGTGCTTGTCAAGGCAGAAGGATTTTGCATCGTATCCAGCGCCAGAGTGAGGACTGGTTCTGGGGCAGGCAAGGGGGGAAGACTGTGAGCTGCACTCTCCACAGTAGCCTCAACATAATCAATTTCTGAGTCATCCATGGATTCATCTCCAGCAACTTCCTGAGCATCAGCTGGTGCAACCACGCTAGCCTCAGTACCATCAACATCAAATTCTTCCATGGGTTGTTCTTCTTCTCCAGCAACTTCCAGAGCATCAGCTGCTGCATCCACGTTAGCCTCATAACAATCAGCATCATATTCTTCCATGGATTCTTCTTGTCCAGCAAGTTCCAGGGAATCAGCTGGTGCATCCATGTTAGCCTCAGTACGATCAACATCATATTCTTCCATAAGATCTTCTTCTCCAGCAACTTCTCCTGCATCTTCCATGTTAGTCAGACACTTATGCTGACTTCCACCCACCTTAGCCTGGACCTCACCATTGAATTGCTCGAACAAATTCACCTCAAGAAAATCTATGTTAGCTTGCATGTTAGTCACACACTTCTGCTGACTTGCACGCATCTTAGCCTCTTCCTCGCCATTGGATTGCTCAAACAAATCCACCTCGTGAGAATCTATGTTAGTGTCTGGATTGACACTTACAGCTATAGGTTGTTCTCCAATCAACTCTTGTTTTCCTGCAACATCAGAATCGAAATGACCTTCTTCCTCCCCATCATTTTCTGCCATAAAATCAGATGTATCACCATGGGACTCATCCTGTCCGTTAGGCTGCTTTGTGATATCTGAATTACTCTTGGTATCATCACCCAAGTTCTGGCTATTGTTCTGAAAATCTATTTCCTCTTTAGCCTCAGCAACAATTTCAGATTCTTCCATGGGTACTTCTCCAGATCCTAAAAACAATTTCATTAAATGATCACAAAGCATTAGGATTTCATACGACACAGATGGTGGTAAGAGAATTGATACAAAAAGTACACAGAAGAACAGACATTCTCCTCAAATCTTTCTACCCCAAGAACAGCAATACATACCATCGTTATTGCAGCCAAGTGCTACTTCCTCTGAGCCCTCTTTTGCTTTTGTATCTAAGACAACAACTTCCAGATCACTAGCATTGTCTTGTTGAACACCATCTTCCATGCCTATTTTATTTTGTACCAAGGTATTTGAATTTTGAACTGACAAGGTATCTGATTCGTTCTTCATGTCCAAACTCTCGGATGATTTCAAATCAATACCTATAGAATAGTTGCCAAGTCAGATCTGAGATCAAGTGATGTTGAAAAAGAAAAAGGCAAAGGATTACATGCTTGCGGACATTACCTTTTTTATCTAATATTTCAGACTTGTGAGCAGAATGCAGCTCAGAGTTCACCTCCAAACTTTCTTCAGTTTCTTCAGAAACTGCATCAAACGTAAGGGTTCCTGACTTTTCATCCTCTTGTGTGCTTGATTCCTGCGTAGGTTTCCCAGCTAACCTCACTGATCGACGAGTGCTGTACACTTGCCTAACTGAACTCTTTGCCTTCACTTCCTTTCTTTGGCTAGTGAGAGCAGCTGCTGGTGTCTTTGGAACATCTTTCTTTTCTTCCTCAACCTGATCCACAATTTCCTCTTTTGGTTCACATTCCTTCATTGCAGATTCCAGCTTAACACGAACTGAAGTTGTTGCAGCCCTCCTTCTGGTAGTTGGCAATGCAGGAGTCTCCAGCATATCCTTTTTGGCTTCATCAATGTCTCTTACCACCGTTCCTCTTGTTCTGCAGTGACTCCTTGTCGTGGTCTGCATAGTTTCTGAGTCATGTTTGATAGTCTTTCGTTGTGTAGTTCGGCGACCAGTCCGAGGTACACTTGCTAATGCTTCTGACTTTCCAGGGGATTCCATGGATGAGTTGGCAACATCAGATTCACATGTTTTCAAGACCTCTTCAATACCGTCAACCTGCATATCGAAACATTTCTGAATTTCGTTTCTGATGTGCAATGTCAATGTATTAATCGGTTAAACATTAAGTAAATATGTTATTAGCAGCTATAGAAATCCAGCTGGGGAATTATTAGGTGGTTCACACAATCCAACAAGCAGGAATGACTTTTTAGTATAGAAATTACAGTCCACAGCTTCCTCACATTCTCAAATTGTCTGAAGATGATTGATAAGCTGGAAAAGACTTGGTACCATAAAGGTGACTGAACGTGAAATGAATAAACGATTTAAATACCGATCCAACCAAAATTAAAATTGCAGATCGAAGCAGTAATTGATATTCATCGTTCTATGTAACCATTTGAGATGCTGCTTATTGTTTGTCATTTTAAGCAAACTCAGCAATGGCTTTGAATGAAAAAAACTGACAAACCCGAGAGAGTTGACTCCAAATGAAATAAGATTTAACCGATTCACAAATCGATCCAATAATCAAAACACTCGCACATCGAATCAAATACAGATATTCTTCTTCCTAGTGTAACCAATTGAAATGCTGCATAGTTTATTCCCATTTTAAACAGACTCAGTAGTCATTTTGATTTCAGAAACTCAAGAGAGGTAACTGCAAGTGAAATTAGGTAAACCAAATCGATCCAACAACAAAAATATTGGCAGATACTGGTAACTCATCTTCCTACTGTAACCATTAGAAATGCTACAGATTTCATTTTTCATTTCAAATAAAACTCATCAATTCTACAACACAGGAACAAAATTATCATATTTAGATTTAAGAAAACTTACAAATTCAAGAGATTGAAGAGCATCAGCCATGGCAACATTGGTTATGTTAGCTGGGATCTTGTTCTTCTTGCAAAGAGCTTGCAATTCTCTCCTAGCGAGGCTGTGGAAATCCATCTCAGCTGCTAAAATGAAACAGGAAATCGATTTACGATTGTTTGGGGGAGGGGGGAAAGGGATTTCTGAGAGGCAATTGGATTGACAATGATGAGAAAAAGGAGGGATATATATACTTGTGTGGGTGCACAGAAAGAAGCCTTGTCAATGTGACCGTTGGAGCGGAAATTCAAATTATTTTGAACTATGGGCTGCAAACAGAAACCCTAAGCCTCTCAATATTGGGCCTTGATGTAATGTTTTGAAAGAAAGCCCAAATATAATTCTCCTTATTTATTTAGAATAAATTTTGGACAAATTACAAAAATATACACCTTTTGTTTCATTTATTTTGATTATCCCCTATTATTTTTAAAAATCTCCAAAATCTCTTATTTCCTTAATGTATCGAGCTACATATTATGTATCCGAGCTAGTTTTTAATGTATTCTAGCCAGTATTTAATGTATCTGAGCTATATATTATGATTTTGATCTAGTTTTTAATGTATTTGAGACAATACTTAATGTATTCGAGCTACATATTAATGTATCCGAGCTTCAATTATTGTATCCTTTTTTTAAAATTTTTTTAAGGGATTAATGTAATTAGAAACTTATTAGAGATTAATTGTAATTTCATATCAAAACTATGAGATTTTTGTAATTTTTAGATTTAGCAAACATAAAAATCATATTTGTATGTTATAAATGTAGTTTGCATAATTGCGCTTTAATATGCATATTTCGATATACTTATGCAAAAGAATCAATTGTATAAGTATATTTTGAATCTATATACAGAATAAGAAAGTTTTTTTTTGTGTAATTTGTATTTTTATAAAGCGAGAAAGAGAGAAAGGCAAAAAAGAACTAGGCAGGGGAAGAATTGTATTGTATAATTACAAATGTATATGATGAAAAAATATGTATATATATTGACATACAGTTTGTTTTCGCTTTATAAAACACAAATGCAATTTTATACATTTGTGTTTGTATAAAGTGAGAGATACGAGAGAAATAGTGGCAAGCGAGATCAGGAGAGTAACGAACGAGATATTTGGGGGGAGAGGCGAACGAAAAGATATGTATTTGTATTTGTATATACAATTTTCTCTCGCTTTATACAAACACAAACATGATTTATACATTTGTTTTTGTAAAAAGTGGAAGAGGCGAGAGAGAAACTGGGAACGAGATATTTGAGGAGAGAGACGAATGTCAAAGTGTTTGCTACGGATTAAAATTAAATGAAACTATAGTTATAGTATTTAATTTTAATTAATAATTTGCTATTTATGTAATTTTCTCTATTTATTATCGTTAAATATTATTTTGTATATAATACTTGCCTTAAATTCTAATAAGTTTAAGTTTTTCTCTACGAAGTAATTATACATTTAACTTCGAGATGAAAAAGTCAAGAAAGTGTCATGTAAAATATCAAAGCTTTTTTTTTTTCTCTTTTAAGGATGGAAAATAAAGTAGTTTACAATAACTACAAGAGTGGATTTGGTTGTGTTACCAGAGAATCATATTGTAACATTATTTGTTTTAGCAAAAAAATTATGTTTTTAATTACGTAATAATAGAATTGTAGACTTTTGAAATTAGATTAAAATTTGCTTTTGAAAAACATACAATGCCAAATTGAAGTGAAAAAAGTAACATTATATTTTTTTAATATATAATTTCAATATTGATTTACTAGAATAAGTTTTCACTGAATTGTTTACTTATTTTGATAAATAATATCAATTAACACTTCGTTAATGACTATAGTCCTCGTAAAATATTGTCCTGATATATTTAAACATAAGATTATACGATTATAATACATAATATAAAGAAAGTAATTTTTTTACGAACCTTATACATTAAAGTAAAGAAAATATACAAATTTTTCAAAGCTTCCATTAGTTGTAATGTGTGACATGAGACAAAGCCACATGGTTTCAATACTATCACTAGAGCACATGAGTTGTTCATCTTTATTGCTTTTGTTTTCTTTGGCATTTGATTAATTCTAATAAATTTGAAAATGAAAATTTTAATTATAATTGAAAAATTATTTGTCACTCCATACTGTTTTAAATAATGATAATTGAATTTATATAGGGATTTTTTTAATCTCATTTTAAAATTATTTATTTATAAAATTATTACGAAAGAAGAAAAGGGACATAAAATTTATTTATTTCAACCTCTTCGATCAAAATTAGAGTCGTAGATAAAGCGCAAAATAAGATTCCGAATTATACCCAATTTTGACCGGAAACCCTATCCCTAGCCCCAAATTTTCGACCTAGCTTTTCCCATTTGCCAATCTGCAATTCCAATTCTTCGTTTATTTTCTGGAAACTCAGCAATCAAAACCCCCAATCATTTTCACCTGGCGTCGAGAATGTAGAACCAATTATTTTAGCATTTGATAGATATATTTGTGTGTTAATATACAAAATTATAGTTATAGAGAGATGGGGAGCTCTGAAACAGAATTAGGAACGGGGGATTGTGGAGTTGGGAGTATTGTTTGGGTCCGAAGGCGAAATGGATCGTGGTGGCCAGGTAAAATACTATGTCCTGATGAGTTTTCAGCTTCCCATTTGATGTCTCCACGATCTGGGACTCCAGTGAAGCTTCTTGGGAGAGAAGATGCCACTGTGTAAGTCCCTTTTTTACACTTGAATTTATCTTAAAATGGATGATGATTTTGACACAAGATAAATGTTGCATGTTGAAATTCAGCTGTAATAATGGTAAAACTCGATTATTATTGTCTTGCATGTTATTGATGCATTCTTAGTTGCAGGAAACTTGGAGTATTTTTTATAACATTGATAACACTATAATTAAATGAATTTCCAGTGAGTTTGCATTGTGATATTTCAGTTGAAATGGGGGTTGGAAGTGGGGTGCAATTAGATAAACTATTGCAAAAGTATTTCTGGACTTAATATGTCACTATAATTTGACAGTGAATAGTTTAGGATTCATAGTTAGAAGCAGAGGCGGATCCAGGATTTGAATGTTGTGGGTGTCACAAACTCATCACTAGTGATTGACATTGAATTAGGGACATATTCAATTAGTTCAATCCATTTTGGGCTAATTCAAATCGTTTAACTAGATTTTTGGTTCATAAGTAATACACGGTCATCTAACCAAAATAAATTTTGTACAATTCGATCTAATTCTTGGTCAAATACTATTGAACAAAAATGAGAAACTTAAACAAGAAAATCAAAATCTTGAACACACAATTAGACCCCTTCAATTCAAACATAATGTACGTAAAACATGATATCTACTAATTGTAACTCATGATGAGTTATATAAAAAAACAAAAGCCAAAGCAGCTATGAAAATTAACAAATTATCTATACAAATATAATAAAAAAATTAATTTTCAAAACAAAAATAAAAACTCTTGACGAAGTGCATAAAACAATCAATGATCTATCACATATCGGCCCTTGCATCCTCTGTCTTTGTTCAAAATAGTAAGAAAGGAAAAATAAAATTTAACGAATAAAATGTACTTTGGAGTAATAAAGAGGAAAAAGATTAAAATCACATTCAAGAGTAATAAAGAGGAAAAAGATTAAAATCACATTCAATTAAATATTTGGAGATCTTCAAAAAGAAAATTACGAGATAATTTTAGATAAATAAACTATCAGATGAGGATTTTTTGGACGGAGTTGAAATACAAATTGAAGAATATATGGAAATTAGGAAAAGAAGAGAAGTAAAGAAAAAGGAAAAAGGGAAATAGACAAAATGGATGGCTAGAGGCAGTGATTTGAGAAAGGAAAAAATTTAAATAAACAGATGTGTTAAAGGGGATTCGAACCTACACCTAGCGCCCGGCACCCTTGCCATTGACCAATGGATCAGAGATGATAATGCTACTACGGATTCCAACCTTTTGTATATACCATAACTCACTAAATTCCTGTGTATATGAAAATTTTAGCGGAGTGTTCGGGTGTCGTGGCACCTCACGCTACCACATAGATCCGCCCCTCGTTTGAAGTATGGACTCTTTACCATCAGTCATTATGAAGGAAGAAAATGGAAATGAGAGTCTCTTAATTGTGTGCTGATTAGCTCATGTTTCTTGTTAGATCAACATCTACAGGCTTATCGTAAAAGCTTATCTTGCGCTAAGTTGGAGAATAGTAATCGAGAATTCCCTGGTCTTGTAGGTGAAGATTATTGAGTTTAGAAGGTAAGTGCTGCTATCGGCTTAGTTGCGCGGACTCTTCACTTTTGATACCGCACCCGTGTCGGATTCGCCAAAAGTACACTACTTTTGGTGAATCTGACGTGCACCCCTTGACATTTTTGAAGAGTCCGAAAAACATAGGCTATGGGTCAAGGTAATGCAGCCTGGCTTAGGAGATTAGGACTCTTTTCATATTGGTTGAAATTCCTTTTTCTCCTTTAACTGTAAAAAGAGGAAAATACATAATGATAATAGAGATGCACCGCACCTTGAAAGCTATTTGTGGAATAGCATTGTATTGTGTCATTCCACCTCTTTCCTTAGAGGGTAAGATTGAGTTTAACCTAACCACTGGAGACTTGAGAGGAATATTATATTATATGCATTATAGTAAGTCTAGTTCATGACATTACACTATTAAAGAACAAAAAATACACAGGAGAGGAAAAAAAGAAAGAGGAAAATGTTCATTAGTTGATTCTATGGAATTGGCAGAGGGAGCTTTGGCTAAAACCTGTTGGAAACAAGGTTTCATAATGTCATCGAAAAGTTAACGAAGTTGAGGCAAGATTTTGATTCATCCTCTTGAGAGTTTTACTAGGGGATAGTCAAGCCGATGCTTGTGGATTCAGTGCCTGGATCAATCAGAAAAATGTTGCAGAATTGCAAGTGTTTAACACATACCGAAAAGGTACTAACTACTAACTAAGCCAACCATTAATTTTAGTTAATGCACCATGAATGGTCTGATGCCGCTAGCAAAGTTCTTACGTCGAGTGCTCACTCATGAGAAGACTCGAGATAGAAGTCTGGGAATGACACTTAATGAAGCAAGAACTCTGTGAACTCCAGCAGAGTTCTAACTCTTTACCTTTGTCCAA